GTCCATTCTTTGTATCCCCTGTCCTCCATCTTTCTCCTAGGTGTTCACCAGATCCACGTTGAATGTCCTGCAGGTTGGGACATGCAGAGGCTGGAGGCATTAGACTCTGCTGGAGTTGTGGTTACAGTTAGCTGCCTGATGTGGGTGCTGGGAACCAAATTCAGGACCATCTGGAAGACTAGTACTACCTGTTCTTAACCACTGAGCCGTCTCTCCAACTTATTTTTGGGTGAAATTGATGGCCACATTGACAGATTGAATGACAATGAGGACCGTGCTGTGTTGTTGTAGCTGAGGAAGTCTCCAGTGGAGGAGCTTCCCTTCAGAAGGTCTAAGTTCTAAGCACTGGCTTCACTTCATCCCCACATCTGGTGGCTTGCCACCTGTCCTGGTCATAAGAGCACTGAACGTCTGTCCTTGAAGATCCTGCTAGTCCTGTCACCCTGGCAAGCTCTGACTACTAAGGGCGACCTTGTTGGGTCCTCAGTTTCCCCTGACTTTAGCGAGGCGTGCCAATCCTCATGTGCTCACAGACAGGGAGCACTTCCCTTTTGCCTAGCTGAGGCAGCTTCCTGGATTAGGCAGAGGGCCACCTCTCCCTGCCAGCACTCTGGGCTCAGGGACTGCCCTTCCAGTCTAGAATGAAATTCCTGTTGTAAAATCAAACTCTGTACCCGTTAAGTACAAACTTGTCAACTCCTCCCCAGGTCCTGGCAGCCGAGGCTTGACTTGCCATCTCTGACTCTCACCCCTTGTGTGAGTAAAATCAGTTTGTCTTTTCATGCAGACAGCTTACCTCCCTGAACACACTGACGTTATGATTCATCCATGGTATAGCGTGTGTCAGAATTTCCTTCCCTCTCGAGGCTAATGTTCCATCATACGGGTGGACTGTATCTGGTTCATTCACTCATTTGTTGATGGCCATATGGGCGGCTTCTACCTCTTCACCCTTGTGAAGAGTGACGCGCCTGTGAACACAAACGGCCTGTTTTTAATGGCGGAAGAACATTCTGCCCGTGTAATGCTTTGGTTCTGGAGTTTCCAGATAAAAACCTACGAACCTCAAAACAGCCATAGAGCGTATGGGCATGTGGTCGGCAGGTCAGTAGTGGACTTATGCCTACCTGGTAGCAGCTCCCTCTGGCCACACCCTGGGGCCAGGTTTCTGGAGGCTGGGCAAATGCTGGGGGATCCTCTTAGTGGGGATGGGGGAGCTGGCCAGGTCAGAGACACTAAGGTCTATCCAATGGCGGCAGAGATGGCTCAGTAGTCAATGCTTACTGCTCTTGCAGAGGACCCAGGTTCAGTTCCTAGCACTTACACCAGGTGGCTCACATCTGCCTGAAACTCTAGTTCCAAGGGATCAAATGTATGTACTTACATACAAATGATGCCCATGAACCATGAACCATGAACGTGCGTGTGCGCGCGCACGGACACACAGACACACAGATACAGACACACAGACACACAGACACAGACACACTCACACAAAATATTAAAGGATACGTGTGGTGTTGTACATCTTTAATACCGGTACTCTGGACTCTAGAAGCAGAGACAGCGAGATCTCAGAGTTCCAGGCCAGCCTGGGCTACATAACAAGACCCTGTCTCAAAAAAACTATAAAGTTATCCAAGAATTGAAGACAGGGTGCCCTGAGTGGCCCCAGTGATTGGGTCTGATGTCCCATTGTTGCAGAGCCTTGATGGATTGATTGATTGCCTCCTGGAGGAATTCTATATCCTGAACCCTAATGCAAAAGGGCGCCACCCACACTGGTCCATCCACCTTGTATGGCTGAGACCACCAGGGCTCAACCAATAGTCCACAGGGAACTAGGCGCCAGTCCTGCCTTCCATAGCAAGAGACTGGGCTCCTCCTGGCAGATCCCTGCTGCTTTTCCTGCCTCCTCCATCCAACAGCTCCAGACCCTGGCTGTCTGAATCAGCGGCCTTTGACCACCTCTGCAGACCAGTTAGGGAGGGATCGCTACCTGAGAGGTGGGGAGGGGGGGGGGAAGAGGAGAAACCCTTTGGGTGGCGCTCAGCGTGGGTAGGTGGCTTAGACACCTGGGTCCTGCTCCCCGGGGGTCAGCTCTGATTTGTGGCCGAGGAACCACATCGAGAGCCGGCTTGAGGCTGCAGCCTCGCCAGATTAGGGACACCACAGTGGGAGGAGTGGGCGCAGGGTCTTAACCGGGCGGTGACACATGTGCCTGGGGCAGGGCGAGGGGACGGAAAAAATGAGTGCGGGGAGGTTCAGCGGCTTCGGCTTCTTTACGGGAAAGCGGATGTGAGGTGCTGACAGGTCCCGGCTGCTCTCAGTTCTTATCTGAACTGGGGCTGCCACCACCGGATGGCCGGGCCCAGAAGCGCCTTGCAGCCCAGAGCCAGGCAGGAGGTTCAGAGAACCGTTGAGAGAACGACCACTTCCTCCCGCTGCTATGCCTCCTCCTCTCCATCTCTCTCTCTCTTTCTTTTTTGTACTCGCCATCCCTTTTATATTCTTTTAACTCATAACGATGTTCTTGTAACCACATGTTCAAGGTGTATTAACCAGATTTTAGCTCTGGTACTTTTTGATGCCCACCTGGCTCCCTTGTCATTTCCTCACAACTCTAACTTGGTTCTTTGTCTTCAGACACCGAGTTGCTGGTGTTGTGCTGAGTCTGCTCAAACTGCTGACACTGCTGATGGGGACCGGAGGACATGGGCCAGTTCAGAGCCCTGTGGCTGGGTTTGCATGGCTTTGACCCGGAGGCACTGGCAGTCCTGTCCTTCCCTCCCTCCCTCCCTCCCTCCCTCCCTCCCTCCCTCCCTCCCTCCCTCCCTCCCTCCCTCCCAGTGTTCCACAGGGCACAGATGGGCAAAGGTAGACGCTGTAAGCTTGGTGTCTTCTGTCACGCAGGGGGATGACAAGTAAAATTTAACGCTCTTTCACTGTTTCAGTTGTGTGTGTATGCATGCATCTATGCAATATGCATATGAACATGTGACCTGTGTGTGGCACACACATTCATGCACAGACTACATACATACGTGCATGGAAAGATACACACACAGCACGTGCACGAGCATACACACTGTATATGCACATGTGTAAGCAGGCATCGACGGGTGTGCACCTGATACTGTTGTACAATGACGATTACATCTCCTGCCAACTTTTCCATCATTCTCTGCACTTTCTCCTTTCCAGGCCTTTAGGTCGCCATTTAGCTTGTATTTGGATCTTGAGAGCACAGATGTCTTCCTTCGGTTTGCACACGATAACTTTCGCCACCTTGAGGCTGTTGCCTTCCACTTTGTGAGTGGAACGTGTCCATCTTGTTTTGAATTGTCTGAAGCTCTTCAACAGCTAAGGTTTGCCCCGCACCCATGCTGTTTGGGAACATGTCTCACCTGCTTGAGCTTCTTCCATGTTCTGTCCGTACGGTCTGCCGGGCTCGGGAGCGTGCAAGTGTGTTGCGTGTGGTGGGACCCTGAATACCACGCCAGGGGAATGCCAGCATCTGATAGGAAGTCCCCGCTCACAGGGACTTGAGGCTGCTCCTCGCTGGTCCCGGCACAGGCAGCGGACACCCTTCCACCCTTCCTGCGTGGTTATCTTGGCTGTTTCCTGTCCACTTTCCCACAAACATCATAGTTCTATAGGTGAGACTTTTATTTTCCCAGAATGATGTTGAATTTACAGATCAAGTAGGAAGATCTGCCACGTCCGTGGTCCGGAGCCATTGTGAGCAGAACCTTGTGTCCTGTGCGGAGTCTGTGCCCTGCTCCTCCTGCAGCTGCCTCACATACTGCTAAACCAGCGGTGGCTCCCAACCTGTGGGTCGCAACTCCCCGGGGGTCATATTTCAGGTGTTTACATTGTGATTCATAACAGTATCGAAATTACAGTGATAACATAGCAACAGAATGGTCGTATGGCTGGGGGTCACAACAACAGGAGGAATTAAAGGGTCTCAGTGTTAGGGAGGTTGAGAGCCACTGCCTTAAGTGATGCCCATCTGTAGCTGTGATAGAGAGAGCAGGCCGGCACTCAATTGCTGGCTACCCAAGAGGGCCTCTTGAACCGTGGAGAGCTGCCCATCTCTTGATCACCTTTTCCTGTCAGCTGGGTGACCAGGTTTCTTTTTTCTAGCACCAGTGAGTTTTTCTAGCACCCTGGCTTATTCTTGGCATCTCTCCTTTGACACTTTCTATTCAGGACGTGGTATCTCCTCCCTCGCTCAATATGGAGTGACAGCAGTGAGTTCAGGAGGGACTCAAGGGCTAGGGGGTGTGTGGGGAGCTGTAGCACCCAAAGGCGGCTCTCTGGTCTCCAGATGAGGCTGGAGAGGGCTGCCCGCCTTCCTCTGTGGGCAAAAGTCAAGAGGCCAGGCTAGTGAAGGGCTGGGAACGAGTCTATCGTTTCTGCAATGTCTTATCCTGTGCCGTGGGGACGGGCCCACAGGCACCTCTCCCATGCCCAGACATACTTCACCCACCCTTCTGAGGTGGCTCCCAGCACACGGCACCAACCCTGCCTGGAAGAACTCACAGAGGAGGGCATGGGGAACACAGGTAAAGTAGTGTAGGGCACCGCCCGCTGGGCCGGGCTCGGGGCCTGTAGCTGTGGGACCCTCAGCCGGTGTGGGACCCTTCCCTGGTGTGGGACCCTTCCCTGGTGTGGGACCCTTCCCTGGTGTGGGACCCTTCCCTGGTGTGGGACCCTTCCCTGGTGTGGGACCCTTCCCTGGTGTGGGAAGCATGCCTTTTCCTCAACCTCTCCACTTGAGATCTTTCATACCTGGGTGGGGGCATGTAAATGCGAGGCTGGTGAATGGAGATGAGGCTGGGGAGTGGCTGTGTATTTCAGTAATGGCAAGGACTGACTCAGGCTGGGCCTGAAGAGGTGGTGACCTTCCCTACTTCACCTGGAGCCTCGGCATGGCCCTGCAGCTCTGCATTCACCACCCCAGCCCCAACACCACAGAAATAGAACAGGGCTTCTTAAAGCTTTTGTTACCATTTAATTATAACAGAGCCAAAGGAAAGGGACTCCTGAGCCCTGGCCATCTGGGTGACCACCAGACAGCTAGGCTCTTGCTACCTTGACTGTCTGAAGTGCCAAGGGGACCCTTAAGACCCTTTGCCCACTTCATGGCCATAGTGTGAGCGGGAGCCAGAACTGGACTCCAGGAGAGGATGAATGGAGAGACCTCCTAACACCCAGATCACTACCCAAGATGGCCACAGTTGGTGTAAGTCAAACTTGTGTCTCCCATTTCCCTTCCCCGCTGCTGGCCTGGGACATGTCTTTTTGGTCCCTAGGGGGACAGAAGGGAGAGGCAATTACCTCACAGGAGGTATGGGTGGGTTTCTAACTCTGTTGGTTCCCCTCATTGCCTCAGTTTCCCAGCTGAAGAGCTGGACATGCAAGACAGCAGGGACTCTCCCAGAACCGTTGCCTGGTGAGCGCTCATGCTTCCCCAGCCCCTAGAGGTAGGAACTCTTCAGGTCTTGGGATTGGTTCAGGGGCCTGGGTCCCCCAGCCTATGAATGTCCCATCTGAGTCTCTCTCACGGGCAGCGTTAGGTGCTGTGTCTACTCTGGACCTGGAGCTCCTTGTTATGGGGCTGCCTCACAGGCAGTCTTTAATCATGTTCCCCTATTTCCAGGCACAGGATCCCCAGAGGGCACAGGCTACAGTGACTCAAGCCCATAGCAGTACCCAGCAGCAGGCTTCAGGAGACCTGGGCTCAGGGCAGCTCAGCACTCTGTGACACGAGGGAACAGGCATGCCTGCTGCTCCCAGCTGGTGCTACACATTAATAGAACTGTCACTCAACAACACGTGTGTTGGAATTGGTCACTCCAGGCAGCTGTCACTCCAGATAGCTCAGACCCTGGGAGCCTTTGCTGCATTGTAGCCTGCACGTTCCTTTTGATGGAGGAATGGACCGGTGCTCTCTGCGGAGAGTCTGTAGGATGCTAACAGCTGAAGCATCTGGTCATCAGGTCAAAGTGGCCAAGAGCAGTGTCCGTCCTCATGCCTTGGAGGCCGGGGACCCTGAGGACCATCTGCTGAGCCCCTACGTCCCAAGGATGAGGCACCCAGCCTTTCAGAGAAGACGATGGTGGCATACTCTGTGTGTACACAGGGGGTGGGGGGCTCTGGGGTCTTCTCACGCCCCGGGAAGTCCAGCTCCTCATAGGCCACACTGAAGATAGATGCTGCAGGAGGGCCCTCCTTCTACAAGGGAACAGGAGGAAGAAGAAAGAGTCGTCTGTGTAGTCAGCTGGGGTGGTGTGTGCATCCCATAATCTCAACCACGCCCCATGCTGAGTTTCCAGTCTGCCGCTGGATTTGGGGCTCTTCTTAGAGACCTCAGCCATTGAAGCTGGGACCTAACAGTTGTCCCTTCCCGCCCCTCCCCACTGCCCTCTGAGATTCAGGGTGCAGCCCCCCTTTTTTCTCTGTATTGTTTCGGACACTGTCCTGGAACTCACTTTGTAGACCAAGCTGGTCTCGAACTCACAGAGATCTGCCTGCCCCTGCCTCCCGAGTGCTGGGATTAAAGGCGTGCACCACCAATGCCCGGCTGGTGCAGTCCCTTTGTTTCTGGCTCTGTTTCTACCTCTAAATGGTCCCTGGTCTTCTTGCAGGTTTAGAATTCCAAAATGTGATGTTTATACTCGTCTCTGCCCAGAACAGAATAAGCAGTGGCGATGCTGGACAGGACAAGGCTATGCACTCTGAGGATCATCACGATACAGCTCTAAGGTCCTGGCTCGAGGTGTGAGCTTAGTTCCCCAGGCTGCAGCCCCTGAGCCCCACAGTCTCTCTGCCTGTGCCAAGCCCTGGGGTAGAGTGTGATGGACCACTCAAGAAAGGGGACCCGGACTCACCAGAGGCTGTTCTTTTCTTCTAGCTCTTCTGGCCTCTGTAGAGAAACACACTCAGAATTAGAGGGTAGCTGCTGAGCCCTCTTCCCCGGTGGAGGGGATGTCTTGGCAGTATGTGTGTGCGTGCAAGCACTCGTGCACACATGTGTCTGTGCTTGGAGTAGGGGTTTCAGGCCCTGAAGAGCTCTAGACTGTGGGCTGGTACCCGTGCCCTTCCCATTTGGTAACTGGGAGTTCCCACTTGGATCATGAGTTGTGGAATATGAGCTTGTCACAGGGACGGACGCAGATCTCTGCCCTGTCCCCTGGAGCACACCACACATGGCAGCCATGCAGCAGATATCATCTGTGACTTCTTAGCTGCCTGATGGCCAGGGTTAGCTAGGTGGTTCCTGGAGATGGTAGAGTAGGAATGGCCCATGTGTGACAGGAGCCTGACTTAGGCCTTCCTTCCAGGCAGAGAAAATGGCAACTTTCTCCAGTTGTTTAGTAAGAAACCAGCAGCCTGGGGCTGGCTGTGGGTGGGGTGGCCCCTGGCTCTTGTAGTGGTCAGGGTCTGTGGGAAGTATGATGACACGGGGCCCTTCTGACGGTCAAGGAATGTGTGAAGTACGGTGGCCACAAGGGTTCATGACAGCCAGGAGCCCCATGAAAGGCAGAGGGTAGAGTGTTGGCAGGAAGCCTAGTGGGTGGGGAATGGCCTGAGGGGTATTTGCAAGGCCTGAGGCTTCGATTTGGTGGGGCAGGGGCCGGGTTATGATGATCCTTACCTGAAACACCTGTTGAGCAGAAGGCAGCTAGGACCCAGGCCAGCAGCAGCAACACGGGGACACCCACTAGGACACTCATGATACCAATGACCACGCCTTGAAACTGGCCTGCTGGCCTGGGTGAGGGACTGGGGTGTCTTGTTGAGGCCTCCAGGATTCTCTCTACAGGACCACAAAGGATAGAGTTCTAGGATACCCACAGTGTATTCTCTTTGGGGGCACCCATCCTGCCTGCTCCAAATCCACTTTGGATAGGCAGTGACTGGCCACCCACCCTACTTCCTTAGGCCCACCATCCCTTGAAGATAAAGGGGCACCTGAGGATTTCCAGAGAAGAGGGGGATGGACAGACAGGGTCCTCAAGGTGCGGGGCAGACCCTCAGATGGGAACCCAGCAGGTCCCTAGGGAGGAGGGGTCCCCTGTTCAGGCGTTTCCAGCTGCACCTGTTACCACCAGCTCTGCTCCAGGGCTCTCCTTGATTTGTGTCTTGGGGGGCAGGGAGATGGCCCCACAGAGGTAGATGCCACTGTCATTGCGTCGTGTGGCGAGGATGCTCATGCGGAAGTCATGCCCGTTGGCTAGCTGTGTGATCTGGAAGCGGCTGTCCCGGACGGGCTGGCTTAACCCTTTGCAGAAGGCGGCTTGTTTTACAGTCTGGTTGCTGGGGCTCAGGCGGTACCAGTTCAGCATAAGGTCCTCGGACCAGTTGGAGAAACTGCAGGTGAAGGTGGCGTTTGATCCCTCTGACACGGTGAGCCAGGCTGGGGAGAAGGTGAGCGGCCTCCAGGACCCACTGGAGACCTCTGAGATGGAGGAGAACAAACACCTGTCAGGACAGGGTGTGTGCACCCTTTCTGAAATCCCTGGGGAGAGGAACGGTTCTCTTAGACCCACCCAAGGTCAGAGTCTCCTAAGAAGTTTCCCTGCCAAGGAGCCTGTAGCTTGTTGTAGGCTGTGGGTGTGCAATCCCCAGCCCCAAGAAACAGGGCTCGTCCTTTAGCATAATTTAACCTAGAGACTGAGGCTTGTCACTGGCGTGCTTATTTCTGTCCTTTGAGAATTTGGATCCCCCTGCCCCCAATGTCTTTACCTGTGCAATGTTTCCCAGGCCTGACCTGCCCAGCCCAGCTCTCGCCTTCTGGTCGGCTGGGTTAGCTCTGTTTGAAGGGTCAGTGGGATGCTGGAGTGGGAATGTGAGGACTCGCATGAAAACCACTTTGGAGGTAGTGTGTTCCTTAGCAAACTTGGGGTCCAGGCTGTGTCCTGGCCCAGAGCTGACAGAGCTGCCCTGGATAACAGAAGTTAGAGGGCAGCCATGTCTTCCAGTCACATCAGAGGTCACAGCCAGGAGCCTCCAAAGATCAGCTGTGTCAATGTCCCTTGAGTGGACAGAAGGAGAGGTTCCATGGTGCAGGACTCCCCGAAGCAAACACTGGGTGGTGTGGCTCCCAGGGCTTTGTCAGGGATGCCCCACCCATCATGCGGGGCCTCAGTGGCTCTTCTCAGCAAATGTCTGTATCACTGACAGGCTTCTTGCCACATACATGCACGCTTACATACAACTTCGCTCCGTACTCTGTGATGCCAGCAGCTAAACCCACAGTCGAGTACACAGGACTGGCCAGTCAGAAGCCCCAGGGTCAAGGGAAGGCAGATTTGGTGAGCACACAGGGAACAGCCACAGAGACCCCCTTGCAGATGCTCTGGCCTCAACGCCGGCTGTGCTGCCAGCTCTCTTTGGCCTTGGCCTATGCAGTCATTTGGCAACTGGGACTTGTAGAGATATGTCCCCAGCTGCACCCTTTCTGGCTCTCTGCCCTCTCCTCTCACAGACTGAATAGTCATATAGTGAGGGAGTTCTACCCAATTGCAGGGCCCAGGGAACTGTACTGCAAACATGGCAACCATCTCCAATGCGGGCCATTTGATTATCCTTACTGGGCATCGTTCCCTCCCAGGGGTGACAGAGTCAGGCTGTGTTGCCATGGCTAAGGTTACAGCCTCAGAAGACACAGAAAGAGCAGGGACCACATAGGGAGAGGATGAACGGAAAAAGTGAGGGCCCAAAACAGCCAGCAAATGTGGTATAAGAAATCAGCCGCCTCCAGCTCAGAAAGGGGGCCAGAGATACTTGGTGAGTTATCATCTGCAGTGAGCCACAGAGATTCTTGGTGAGTTATCATCTGCAGTGAGCCACAGAGATTCTTGGTGAGTTATCATCTGCAGTGAGCCACAGAGATTCTTGGTGAGTTATCATCTGCAGTGAGCCACAGAGATTCTTGGTGAGTTATCATCTGCAGTGAGCCACAGAGATTCTTGGTGAGTTATCATCTGCAGTGAGCCACAGAGATTCTTGGTGAGTTATCTGCAGTGAGCAAGAAGACTTCAGCAGAGGGAGGCCCGGAGACACCCCCACCCGGGAAGAAGCAGGACTAACATTTCCCCTCCTTGATGTTCTCGGCTCTGTATGGATGATGGATAAACACTGCTGGGCCCTGCTGATGATCTAGGGCCACTTGGATTTGAGGGTGGACGTGGTCTCTGAGCCAGACCTGGAGCTCCTCAAGGGCCAGGGTCTCTAGATCCCATGTAGTTGGTGAATCCTAAGTCACATGGTGCTAGGCAGCCAGCAGACCATGTAGGTCTGTGTGGGAGAGGAGGACCAGCAGCATCAGGGATCCTCAGAGGGGCCAAGCCCAGGCTAGGGATGGCCAGGGTGAGATCTCCCCAGCTTAGCGAAGGTTCTGTCCCTCCTCAAGAGGCAGCACAAACACCATGCGGCTACAGTATACTCTCTCTCTTTGGCTTGAGATGATCTGTGCAAACCAGACTCAGCCAGCATGCCCCAACACACTAGTGTCAGTGGAGCCCTTCATCAAACACACAAGTCCTTTCCAAGAGAGCCCCGGCACTGTAGTAAGGCTATGCACACATTGGCAAAGGAGACGTAGCTCCTCACCTGCACCTTCTAGGCTCTGTCAGTGTGGTCTATGGTCTCCCTTCTTGCAACTAGAAACCCGGGGTCCCTTTCCAAGCGGTAACCTTCAGTCTATACAGCATTACCCTGACCCCCAAATCCACCACCACAGCCACACACAACCACCCATCTCCATACAGATTCCCAAGACTTTCCATGGTCATGAGGACTAGAAAAGTCCCCGGAGAGCCAAAAGGCATATGCCTCTTCTTTGTTCCCAGCAGGATTGTCACACCCGTCCAAGGGCAGTTGTGGTCTGTGAACACACCGGGCATCTCTGTCCGGTTGTCACCTCCTGTCCTCTGACGGGATTCATCCACTGGGCTTTGGGACCGTGGCATGTCCTCAGGGAACCACCTGCCACCCTCCCTCTCAAGGTTGGCCCCTAGGTTGCCCCAGATGAGTTGTTGGGTAGACATTTGGTCATGGATTCCAGAGTCCCCTTGCCCCATCGGTTGTTTGGTTCCAAGTCTTTCCTGGTCCTGTGTTTAAATATATGGCAATTTGAGTGACTTTTCTTCTCACTGACTCTTTGCTATCTATACTTCTGGTAGCGGGACTGTCGACTTCTCAGATCTCTGTTCTCTTGTGGGTCTCTGCCGATGTCCACGCCAGGGCCTTGTCTCTCTCTGTCTAGGTGGCCTCCATGCCCCTTCCTCCCTCCTCAGAGTAGTCCCTGCTCCCTCTGTGCCCCACAGCCTCTGCTCCTCTGCTCCCCTGGGAATTCTTTTCTTGAACTGGCATGTGCCTCCCTTCAGTTGTGCCTGTGGTGGGCTAGCGATGACAAGGGTGGACACTTGCTCACAGGGGCACTGCTCTGCTTTGGGGATGTGTGGGAGGGGCTGGGTTTGGCAAGAGAGTGCCTCTGGAGGTCACAGGTGGTAGGGTGATACCCGCAGGCGTTCAGGTCAGAGAAAAGCGCCACCCAGGAATGATCAGGCCCCCGAGAGAGCTGGAAGCACCTCGTTGCGTGTGATGGCAGTTAGGTGGGTCAGCACCAAGCATCTCCTGCAGTCCTGAGAAAGTGAGATAAGTACTGAGGCCCCAGGCAGTACTTCTGAGTCTCCCTTTCATGCTGTGGGAGCATACAGGCAGATGAAAGTGAAGTGTCACTGTGGTTAAAACACATAACGGTGGCTTCTTTTTTAAAGACAGGAACTGGCTAGATAGCCGAGGTTGGCCTTGAACGCACAATTCTCCGCCTGCTTCCTAGGTGCTGAGATCACAGGCAGGAACTGTCCTGCTTCGATAAAGACAGACACTTCTGCTTAACCCAGGAGTGGTGGGTGAGTGGAGAGGAACTGTGACAATACTGACTTCTGGGTACAGTGGGTGAGGATGGCCCCGAGTCCCTGCACTATGAGTTCCAGCAAACTCTTTTGATGTTGTTTGCACAATTAGAGATTTCACAGGAGGGAGGGAGGAGGGCTGGGGAGATGGCCCAGCAGGTAAGAACACTTGGTGCTGGGAGTTTGGGTCCTTCACACCCATGTGAAAGACGGGTGTGGCAGTGTGTGTTTGTAATGTCAGCATCATGGGAAGTAGAGACGGGGCATCCTGGGAAGACACTGTCTCAAGGGAATAAAGTGTGTGACAATGTAATACTTTGAAAATATCTCTTACATTTTAAGAGACTGAAAATTTTGTTGGGCCTCACAGCCAGAGTTAATTATATACCTTGGTGTCACTTAAGATTTAAGACTGCTGCCCTACTGTGTACCCAACCTGTTTATTTAGCCTGCCTTTGAAATTTTTTTCTTTTGGTTTTTAGGACAGGATTTCTCTGTGTAGCCCTGGCTGTCCTGGAACTCACTCTGTCTATAGAGTAGGCTGGCCTTGAACTCAAGAGATCTGCCTGCCTCTGCCTCCCAAGTGGTGGGATTAAAGCCTTATGTCACCAAGCCCCACTTCAACTTGCCTTTAAGGTAACAATATAGCAATCAACCTCACTTGGCTTGGATTTAAGAGAACAATGTAACAATTAACCTTACTTGTAAGTGTAATCAACTTTTACAATTTAAGCAATGCATAATGCAATCTTAAGTTGCATTCTCTTCCATGCCCCTGACTCAGATAACACATGTGTGCCATTTGCTGAAAGCAGCAAATACAGAGGTGGAAACATTCTAACATCTGTCACAGAGGTCGAAAGCATCCATTTGTGGGTATTGGTTGATAATGGCACTTATCATCTGGGTTAGTCAGTCAGTTGGAGCCAGTGACTCAATCCCTTGTAACACTGTTAAAGATTTCTGCCAAGTGTCCCATTATCTCTACTGTATGACACTTTTTATGCTGGTCCATAAAGACAGAGCAAAGTCCTTTGTTAGGGACAAACAGACAAGAGAGACAGACAGACAGACACGCGCGCGCACACACACACACACACACACACAGCTCAGACAACAGATAGACACCGCTCACAAACACGGACAGCCACAACACACACACTGAACAGAGGACAGAGACATAGATTCAGACTCACGCAACAGACGGATGGAGAAAGACATGTGGAGCATGAAGTGGAGAATTCTAATCCGGACTGTCTCTTGGTTGAATGGCTCCAAGGGAAAGTGAGTCAATTTCTTTCCTTAATGTGACGCTGATGCATTATTGGTGCCTCAGATTATTCACTAATGGGTATAATCTGCACAAAGGTAGGACAATAAAGCCGGGCATCTTCCTCCGGCCACCACACAGACACACACACACACACATAGGTGTGTGCACCCACAGACACCCACATCCACACCCGTGTAAGTCACCCAGGGCTGTGGAGTTGGCTCAGTTGCTGAAGTGTTTGCAAGCAAATGTGAGGAGACTGAT